GGAGCTGTCAGCCATTGGCGAGCAGGTGTTCGCGGTGGAGAGCATCCGGAAGAAGCGCGTGCGGAAGGTGAGGCTGCCTGGCGCTGCTCCCGGGACCTCGGCGGGGTCGCCTCCGGCCCCCAGCACCGCCCCTCCGGGCTGGGGACACGGGAAAGTGCGGCGGGGACGCAGGCAGGCCTGGGATGCTGGCTGTTCTCTCCAGCCCGTGCCTCCAGCCCCTGCCACAGTATAGGGCGATAGAATCAAAGTTGTGGCCTCAAGATGCTGGAGGCAGCTGAGCGCCCCGGAGCTGAAGATGAGGATCGGCCTGGGTAGGGGGGTCCTGAGTGGCATCCTGCCTTATCCCCTTTTCATGCTAAATATGGGGAGACTGAGGCGGTAGTTGAGGAAACAACTTGCCTCGTGCTTTAGTGTCGGGGATCGGTCTCGAACTCGGGGAAATCCGGACTCTTAGTTCTAAGTCCTTTGAAGTTGGAGGAGCTTTGGAAAAGTCTCCCACTGTTACTGAAATTTTCACGTTGGACTTTGACCTTTTCAATCCCAACCCCCCATGCACACCCCTCTTCTCCACCCCTCACCCCACCCCGCCCCCAACTCCCAGCCCCGCCTGCTGCTCCGAAGCCGCGTTGGGGCGTCCTCGGAGCTCCTCCCTCTCTGCCTCCGCCTTTAAAACACACGCCCTGCAATTTAAAAGGTGGATGTCCCGACTTGGTCGTCTGCTTGTGCCGCGGTCTCATCCCAGCCTGGGGTTTGGGAGCTGGGGCCTCTAGGAAAAATAATTCCTCCACGATCCTTTTCCCGCCTCTCCTTCCAGTAGCCCCTTGGGAGGCTCTTGGAGATCACCTTCTCCCATTTGTCAGAGGCAAAAGCTGAGGCCCAGGCAGGTGGTGACCTGCTCAAGGGCCCACCACAAGCTAGAGTCGGAGGTGGAGCACGTGCTCACGTTGGCTGATCTAGAGCCTACCTTTCTGCGGGGAAAACTCTTGGGCCAGTGGTCGGCCTCTTTCCTTACCCCAACTCCATTGGGGTGCCGATTTGTCTTCTGGTTGGGGCTACCTCACCTACCCGCCTCCACAGGTTTTCTCGGCTTAAAAGAGGATTAATTTGTTCTGTACAGACCAGTATTCCCCACGAAGTGTAGCCTGAAACAGGTACATCGATGGTCCCTTCTACAGCGGGTCAGGAAGGCGGTGGAAGTGAGGACTTGAGCCTTCATCCAGGCACTCCAGGCCTTACTGGGATTAGGAGTAACCCCATCTGCTGTGTCCAGGCACCGTTGTAAGCCCAGGGCTGCCTTCCTTCCCTCCTAGAGCTGGCATTCAGCAGGGAAGGTGCAGGAGATGCCTTTGGATGGGCTGTGCGCTTTGCAGAAAGAACTGTCAGGTGCTCGGGAGGAGCAGCGTGGGAGGGTGGTCAGGGCAGGGCTCTTTGAGAAGGTGCTGTGTCTTGAGCCTGAAGTTTTGGTATGGAGAAGCTTCACTTACTGAAAGGGCTGGGACGCATTTTAAAGGCTCCCATCCCTTGGGAAGAAGGGGGATGAAGGCAGTTTCCTAATAGCTGGAGGGCTGATCAACCTTCCTGAAGGTGGAGGCTTTGTCTTCTCTAGGGCCCCGACAGGGTCTTATGCAGCAAGAGTTCTGATTGCAATTGCCTCTGGGCCGGAGGCAGCTGGCTGATAGGGCTAGAGCCGTAGCATCACCCGAGGGAGGGATGGCCTGTGTCTTAGAATCTTCTGATTTAGCAAGGAGAAGGAAGAGGCATGGTACTAATAATCGACTCTTGTCTCTTCCACACGTGGCCCCATGTGGCCTCAGTTTCCCCGGGTGTGGTGGGAGCTCTTGAGTCTGGGTCCCGGGGCCTCAGGAGTTTCTGGAGGCCTATGCGCCCCTGTGCTGTAGTGGAGGGGGAAATGGAGTGGTTGGGCAGCAGCCAGCTGTGGGCTTTCTGGGCTGGCGGGGATCTGGTGGAGGTCCCTGGGTGTGTTTTAGCGTCAGGGACACCTGTTTGCAGGGGGGTTTGGGGCTGAGGTCCTGTCAGCCTTCTTGTTCTGGGAGTGAGTGCGAGTCTCACCACATCCATTTCTCTCTTTCAGGGCAAAGTCGAGTATCTGGTGAAATGGAAAGGATGGCCCCCCAAGTAAGCTCCTTTGTGTCTGTCCGTCTGTCTGTCCATCCCTGCACTTGTTTTCTGCCCCTGCCCTTTCCCAGCTTTTAGCACCATCTGCTTTTGTAACTGGACAGTCAGCTTCTCTGGGCCTCAGTTTCTCTGGCACACAAGAGGGCCCCAGGGCTGGCAAACAAGAGGTCAAGGTGGGTGTCCAGCTCAAGCTCTGTGGCCTCCTCTCCCTTCCCCTCTCTCTGGCTTCCCCAGGAAGCTGGCAGTGAGGGCTCAGCATTGGCTGCAGAGGTGCTGGCCAAGCTGGGGGATGCCAGGTTCAGCAGATGGGGGGGCAGAGCCAGAGACCTTTGGATGGCACTTTCCAAAGGAGGTTCCCGGGTGTTGTGAGATGGGCATGATCTTGCGCTCACAAAATGAGGAAACATGCTCAGAGAGGGTGATGAGCGTGCCTTAGGTCACACAGCACATGGAAGCAGGGTTGGAACCTGAACTAGTCCTTCCCATTTTCAGGTCTCTCCAGTGTCTCACCAACCTCCCACCAAGGGGCTGGAGATCAAAAGCTGGGTCTAAGACCTCACCCAGCCCTGGCTCTCCTGCCTAGGGCCGGTCAGGAGGCCTTCTGTCAGCCAGTCATCTGTCAGGACGGAGTTGTTAGAGATGGGAAGAGCTAGTCGTGGCCTCCCCATTGGTCTCTGGGTGTCCCACCCCTGGCTTTCCCAAAAACTGAATCCCAGAAGCCCCTCTACCCCAGGGGATGTGGTCTGCTTTTTGCTCTGCCTGGCCATAGGGGCCGACCTGGGGCCTGGGAAAGCGGGTGAGCACAGGACAAGATAGGCCATGGTACCTCAGCTTCCGTCTCTGCTAAATGGGTTCAGTGGTCCAGGCCTGTGCCCTTTGCCTGAGCAGATACTCATAGTGCCCTGCACTACACTAGGTTGGTGGCCAGTTGGTGGCAGCAAACAGATAGTGCTTGTCCCTCCCCTGACCTGCAGGGCTGAGGATGTCTCCTCACTGGTCACAGGGGCACTTCTGGCCTGGTGAGGGGGACAGGCAGAGCCCAGGTGCGCCTGATGGGCATCACAGTGACCATTGCTACCAGCTGGTTGGCGTCCAGGCGCTGTCTGCTGTTTCTCCTCCTCTGCAGACTCCATCTTTTGAAAGCATTCCTTCTCTACACGGAGGCCCCTATTAAAAGGTTCTTTGTCCTATTCTTATCCTTCTGAAAGTGCACCTCTGCCCTGCTGGGTGGAGTGTCAGGAGCGGGGAGCCCACCTCAAGAAAAAGGGCTCTTGCTGCTTCTTTATAGTGCGGCCTGCTTGTTTTTTGGCGGGGTGCAGGGCAGGGTGCTGAGACTGGAACCCTAGGCCTTGCGTATACTAGGCAAGCACCGAGTCTAGTTAAGCCCCATCCCTTGCTTGTTTCTTAATATGCTGAGCCCCCCTCTTCCACCCTCCCCCTTGACTACTACTTGTGACTCCCAGTGGGGTTCTGGAATCTGGAAGCCCCGCTTAACCAGGTGACCTGGGGACACCTTCCTGCTTTCTATTGCCTATTGGTCCTGGATTTCAGTAGCAGCTGTGAGCCTTTGAGCAGGCCCCCAGCATGGTTGTCTCTGCTTCCTGCCTTTAGATTGGGATTGTAAGGCCTCCTTCGCTGAGTTGTTCCAACTGATTAGACGATGGATATGCATTGCACACCCTGTGCTGTAGTGGACATTCTAAGTGAGCACCGTTAGAGAAACCACGAAGAGTTGTTTTGTTTTCATTTGCTCGGAAAGGGACTAAGGGGAGTCCGTCCTGAACAGGAGCTCAAAGTAGCCTTAGACTAAAACGCTTATTTAGATCAGTCTTCACTTTTCAGATGGGGAAACTGAGGTCCAGAGACAGGTCGTCATTAAAAAAATACAACTGCAGGCTGGGCATGGTGGCACAAGCCTGTAATTCCAGCCAGCAGGAGGCTGAGGCAGGAGGATTGCCATGAGTTCTAGGCCAGCCTGGGCTACATATCAAGACCCTTCTTTCAAAAAAAGAAAACAAACAAAACAGTCGTAGCTGGATGTGGTGGCCCATGGCTGTAATCTGAACAGTCTGGGAGGTTGAGGCGGAAGGCCAGCAAATTTGAGCCTACCTGTGCAACTTAGTGAGACCCAGCCTATCCAATGGGAAGTAAAAAAGGAGCTGGAGATACAGGGCGGTGCAAAAACCAAACCTGCCAAGCCGCACAACTCACTGCTGTCCTGTGTGAGGCCGGAGAGCCACAGCCCCTGTGGCCAGCTCCAACTGCAGTCCCCCTCCTGGGGGGAGGGGAGGCCGGCGGCTGGGGTGGGGGCGGGCAGGCAGTTTCCGCAGGTCTAGGGCCTTGGCTGGGCAGAGCCTGGCTCACTGGGGGTCCGACTCTCCCGCTCAGGCGCCACCCTTCTCACCCCTGGGCAGGGAAGCTTCGGTTACTAATCGTCAGTGATTTAAATGCACATCTCTCCGGCCAGGCCCCTGCAGAGCCTTTCTGTGCCTTGCCTGTTTTCTCTCCCCAACAACAAGTCAAGTGGCAGTGCTGTTCCTCAGCGGGGGCGGCTGAGGGACTCCTTCCCTCTGGAAGGAAGGCACACCAGGTGGGGCAGGGCTGGGGGACAGCACAGAGGATGTGAATTGTCAGGAACAGGTGCTCTCCGCACCCCAGGTACCCAACTCTCATTCCAACCTGCCCAGGATCCTGCTGCTCCGATATCCGGGATGACTTCCTTTCCCACCAGGGAGAATTGGCTCCATGGAACTTTAGTAATGAGATTCATGCAAAAAGCAGTAACTAGGCTGCCAGTGAATAAGCCCCCATTTTGAGGCATTGGTCCATTAATTGCTGCATAGTAACCCATTTTACAGATGGAGAGACAGAAGCCCAAGGCACAGAAGCGTCCTTGCCCAGGCTCATACTGCTGGAAAGAGCTCACTTGCAGGCTGCCTGAGCCCTGTCCCTGGGGCTTGTGAACGTGTCCCCTGTGATGCAGAGCCAGCTCTACCAAAGGTGACCAGGAGTCTCTTGGCAGTTGGCCTTTTGGCTAGGTCACTAGGGTGAGCTCAGGCCTTGGGGACCACTTTGTCTTTGATTGTTTAGACGTATCAACTCTGTGACCCAAGGCACAATCCTCAATCTCTCTGTGCCTCCATTTCCTCGTCTATAAAATGGGGTCCCACCAGGCCCTGCTAAAGGCTGCCTGAAACCAGTGTCATTGAGGCTTGCCAGGGGCAGGGTAGCAATGTCTTCCTTCTTCGGGGCTGGGTGTGGGCAGCAGCCAGAGCCCTGGGTTCCCGCCCAGGCAGGCATTTGCTCACTGTAGGTTTCTGAAATTGATATTATTAACGCTTATTTGCTTTCATCAGGTACAACACTGATCAAAGCGCCTTGTGTGACTGAACGCATCTAATTTTCAGCCCAAGCCCAAGCGAAAGGATTATCTGGAGTCTCGCATTAGTCTGAGGCCACAGAGGGAGCCCCTCCCTTGCTCAGAGTTGAACCCCCGCGGTCTGAGCCCAATCCCAAGCCCTGCGTTTCTCATTTGGGGCAGTTTACATTGGAGTGGGGGGCCTGGCCCGGCTCTGTGGACCTACATGTCCCAGGAACACCTGCGTCACAGCTGGCCGTGCGCCCCTTTCCCCCCTGAGGAAGGCTGGCGGGGGCGTGTTACCCGCCCGGCTGCTGCGCCCCTCACTCCCAACTCCTGTCCCCTACACCTCCGGTAGCCCCAGCCCCAGCCCCAGCCCCGGCAGCCTGGAGTTGCGCAGCCCAGTGGGGTGCGGCGGCTGGAGCTTGTTTACCCGTGCTGGGGGCGGGGCGGGCGGTCACGTGGCCGTGTTTATCTCGGAGCCGGCGCGCACCGCCCGCCCCGTCTTCATTGGTTGACCGGGTGTCACGGGAGCGCGCCCCGCCCCCTCGTGCGTGCGCGCGCGGGCATGCATGTGACCGCCCACTTACGGGGCGGGGGTGAGTGGGGCCCTGCGCTCTTCCACCAGCGTGGGGCGCTCGTGCGGCAGCCTGCGCCCTGGTCTTGCTGCAGACCTTGCTGGTCCCGAGTGTACCCGAGGGGCTCTGGCTCGCGCCGGGCACGCCTGCGCCCCGCTCTTGGCGAAGTGTGTTCTCCTCGCTGCAGTCTCTGGACTCCGGCACTGCGGAGGGGCGCGGCACACCCACCATTGTACCTTAGGACCTGAGGGCTTGGGGAGGCTTGGACCTATGTGCCAAACCTGGCGCACCCTGCCCAGCATCAAGCAGGACCTGGCGGGGCTTCCACGGCTGATTCAGGCCAGAAACAATCCCTCTCTTAATCTGGCCGCTCCTTGTGTGTGCCCATTGTTCGCCAGGCCCTGAGTCAGACACTGAGGAGTGACCTTGGGCAAGGTACTTCACTCTGTGCCTCAGTTTTTAATCTGTAAAATGGGTAACAGTTTAAGAACCTACCTTAGCAGAGTATTATGAAGGAGCAGGAATTCTTGGAGGCAGGTGGTGCACCTGCTGTTACTGTGGAGGTGGTAGTTCTTAAAATGAGGAAATTGAGGTCCAGAGACAGGGAGAGACTTGTCAGTAATCACCTAACAGCTACATCAGCAAGGAAGGTGCTGGTGGGGTGCAGGGAAGGCAGAGAAGACCAGACAGTAGAGTCAGCCCAACAGCTAGAGGTATGCAGGACTCCTCGCAGAGACGGGTGAGGACAGCCAGCCTTTGTCTGGGGAGGAAGGCTGGGTTGGCCTGGCCGTGGTGGGTAAGTTGGGCTTCTTGGCAGTTGTTTAATTTTCGGCTTTGTAGTAAGCGCAACTGAGGGTCGGGCTGCCCCTTTGCAAAGCACCTCGGTGGGGCCTGCACTGGCTCTGGGGAGGGGTTCATAGAATTCGGTCCTGCTGGGAGGCTGGCGGCTTGGAAGGGTGTCAGGTAGAGCTACCAGAACATGGCTACTAAAGTGTGATCTGGAGCTTGCTGCAGAGAGGAAGCATCCACAGGTGAGCCCAGGGCAGGCAGAGCACACGATGCCCACCATGGGAGGCTTGCCAGGGCAGTGTGTGGAGGGGACAGGCAGCCCTCGATGCTCAGTCCCCAGAGCCTGCACAGGGTCTGACGTAAGGCAGGGGAGCTGAGTGTGAGTGCAAGAGAAGAGGAAAACCAGCTTGGTGTGGTTATGCATACCTGTAATTCCAGCACTCTGGGAGGCTGAGACAGGAGGATGGCAAGCTGGAACCCAGCCTAGGGAATTGAGTGATTTATTGAGACCGTGTCTCAAAGGGGTGGTAGGGATGGGTGGGGGGACTGGGATGTAGCTAAGTGTGAGAAAGGCCCTGGGTTCAGTCCCCAGACAGCAAAACAGTTGGTGGTGGGGCATTCTGTGCTTAGGTAGCTTGCTGCTGGGCCCTGCTCCGATGTTAAATGTCACAAGAGTGTCATTTAAGTGTTACTTAAGATGTTAAGTGTCACAGGTGTCCCGGGAGGCTTAAGGGAGAGGTCTTTGCTCAGCTGACGAGGAGGCAACGCTGGCCTGGCCTCTTTCTGCCTCCGAACACCAGTCACCTACCTTCTCACCCAGCAGGGAGTCACGCCAAGGTCATAGTGCATCGTTTTGTTTTAGTTTATGTCCACACATGTTGTATGTGCCTGTGTACATTTGTATGTTACGTGTGTACTTTATACATTCGTATATATGTACATATGTTTTTAATTTTTTTTTGGTCTTTTTGAGACAGGGTCTCGCTCTGCAGTTCAGGCTGGCCTTGAGCTTAGTTTGTAGCCCAGGCTGGTCTCGAACTCGTAGAGATCCTCCTGCCTCAGCCTCCCAAGGGCTGGGATTACAGGAGTGTGCCACCGCACCTGGCTTGTTTTTAAATTTTAAAAGTTTTAACACTTGTATCTATTTGTGATGAGTGCTACTGGTTTTCCATTTATGGGAGTTGTAAAGCTTGCTGGCAGAATGCAATCGTTTAAACAGAAAAACCAAGCTGCTTTAAGGAGGCAGCTGCTGGTAAAGGCAGCAGTGGCGCGGTCTGCACCTGCTGCCAGGCCAGCCCTGCCTTGGGGTGCTCTGTAGTCCAGGTGTTACTTGCTGTGGGAGCGCTGCACCACTGGACCGCTAGAGATCTACCAGACACCTGCCGTGTGCCAGGCCCTGTGGCTCAGATGCACCCAGGTGGGAGGGCTGGCCCCGCGAGGAGGTGGCCTTGCTGGCAGGAGCTTCAGGGTTAGGGAGGAGCTGCCTAACTGGCAGAGGACAGGAAATACTGGCAGAATGCTCCCGCTCCACCACGCACTGCCCCCACTTGGATGACACATTTACCCAGCACCAGAGTCCTTTATAGATGGGGACCCCAGGGCAGGGAGCTGTTGAGTACATGGTTCAAGGTTGCCCAGCCAGCTAGGGGCTGAGCTGGGATTGAACACAGGCAGTGTGGCTGCAGTGTCCCTGCTCTGTCATAGGAAGTGTATCGCTCATAGACGTGCTCTGTTCTGGACACTGAGGGCCTCAGGTGAACGTGGGGTCTATACAGGAGTAGGACAGGGTCAGATTAGAGCATAGCATGAACAAGGGGAGGTCTGGTGACCTAGCAGCCCCTGGGAGGCCCAGGTCAGTTCAGCTTCTTGGCGTAGCGAGTCGCACCTCACTGGGCAGGATAAAGGCGTGGTGACAGTGGGTCCTGGGAGAGCAGCTCAGGCTCCACGACTCTGGGGGAAGGCAGCTCTCACCTCTCACTCTTCTCCCCAGGTACAGCACGTGGGAGCCAGAAGAGCACATCCTGGATCCCCGCCTTGTCATGGCCTACGAGGAAAAGTAAGGTGTCTTAAGTTCCGAGGTGTGCTAGGAAGCTGGCTCCTGGCTTGGCCCTGGGCAGGGCCTGTGGGGGCGACGGGTGTCTCATAGGCAGTCTGGCCTGGTTTGGAGTTGAGGGACGTTGTGGGCTCTGAAGATCCAGGTCCCTTTCCTGCTCCCTGTCAGCCCCGTCTCCCTGCCCAGCTCCTCCTCACTGTTGTACTCCCAGCCCCCAGGTAGAGGTTCAGTTCCGGTGCGGGCTGGGAAGACGGCTCACAGAGTACCCTGTGTGCGAGGGGCAGTGGGCCAGAGATTGTCCCACCAGAGGAGGAGAGTGAAGTCACCAGGCGCCGGGAGTCGGGGTGGGGTGGGCTGTTCCCTTACCAACTCCCAGTGAGTGGCCCAGGGCAGAGTGAGTCCCCTGCCGCCAGCATATTGCCCATTCTGCCCATCCTCACTGCCCCAGGCCAGCAGCCCAAGTCCCACCTCTGCCTGGCCACCACCCCTGCAGTGTGGGCCACGTCACAGAGTAGTTTCTGTTCGGTGCTTTCTGAGGTCTCATTTGATGGGTGAGGACATGGAGGCTCTGAGGAGGTCAGTGAGAAGCCATTCCTCCCGGGGTTCCATGTGATTCAGAGGGCTGCTTTCCCTTCCCATGGTCAGGATGGGCCGTAGTTCATGTCTCACTGCCAGGCAGCTTGAGCTGCTCGTGATACGTGCACGATTTGACTGTTCCATTGAGTGGCTTTTTATTAATTTTATTAGTAAAAAGACTGATAAGGAGTGAGTAGAGTCACTTACACGGCTAGGCCCAAGCAGCTCACTGGGACAATCATGCGCGCAGCCCGGTGGTTTAAGTCGCAGGAATGTGTTAAGCATCGGGCTGTCCTTGCCCCACAGCTGCTTCCTGCTTCTCCGGTGTGGGTGAGGCCCTGGTCCTTAGAAGCGCTGTGGCACTCAGGAGACTCGTGTGCTGTGTTGGCATGTGGCAAGGAAGGCCGTGGGAAGGTGTCCTTCACACGGTGCCCTTCCTGCCGCCTAGGCCATGACACCCCACAGGGCATGGCAGCTCTTGCCTGGAGGTCAGACATTTAAAATAGACACTGTGCGACTGACTGCGTTATGCTGGCCTCAGGTCACCCAGTGAGGAAGGGACAGGGTGACCTCTTGGCCCTGCATACTTTCATCTGGCCTCTGCAGTGTGAACTGAGCCGGGGCGGAACTCCCGTGCCGGGCGGCTCGGTGGTGTGGGGTCTTGGTGTGGTGCGTGTGTCGGGCTGTGAAAGCACCCTCACAGTGCACGCTGTGGGTTTGTTTGCTCCTGTGACAGAGGCACCCAGTTGAGATTGAGCATCTGCAGGGCTCGGTGTGGCCTCTCCTTCCTCCCCAGTCTGCCTGGCCCAGGCAAGATAGCAGCCTTCCTTTCTCCAGGTTCCTGCAGGCCCTCAGTCTGGGGGGTAGGTCAGGGGCTTTGCAGAGGGGCTCCCCATCTTCATCGGCCTGGGGACATTCAAGGCACGTTGGGCTGACAGGCTTCTGTACAGCTCTCCTGAGTACACAGTGGAGCTGCCAGTTTGGCGGTGCCCAGTAGTAAGTTGAGCGCAGGCCTTGCGTGGCCCAGAGCTCAGTGGGGACCCACACGTTTCTGGGTCCATGGGTCCTGCTTACCAGATGGGAAGCCAGGTTCTGGAGGTTGAACACCTCACCCACCTATTCCAGCCCAAAGGTGAGGAGGAGGGGTGGCTGGTGGGGGTGTCCCCATCCTGACAGCAGAGGGGGTGAAGCGGACACCTTGATCCCCCTTAGAAGTCACCAGTATTTCCTTTTCTTCTGCCACCTGCTTTGCACCCAGGGAGGAGAGAGACCGTGCATCGGGGTATAGGAAGAGAGGCCCGAAACCCAAGCGGCTTCTGCTGCAGGTAACCGCTGCCTTGGGGCCTCCTGCCTCTCCCTGCCCAGCCCCGGCCTGCGTGCCTCTGCCCTGGCCACTGAGCCCCTCTACCTGCCCTCGTACTGCCAGGGTGCTAGGAAGGCTAGAATGGGGGCACGTGGTCTGGAGGGCAAATGTCCTGATGGGAGGGAGGGCAGGCACATGGCCAGCGCAGTCCTAGCATTTCTGAGACCCTAGAATCTTATAAATAAACCTTTTTGATACACAGAGTCCCCAAACACAAAATTGTAATGTTTGAGAACCTTAGAAACATCAACTTCAGAGTTGAGGATGCATGAGTGACTGGAATTTTAGGAGCCAGGATCAGAGGCTTTTAGCCTCCTGGAATAGCCTTGGGGTAGCACACTCCTAGAAGTGTGGCCTTTTTGAGTGGCAAAAAGCCTCTGGGGCGTCCTTTCCCCTCCTTGGTGATGTGGGAGTCTGTTACTTCCTGGGGGCCTGTGTCTTAGGTCTTGAGGGCAGGAGGAACATTCGGAGTTTGAAGTAGTAGTGTGAGTTACATGATTCTGGGGTTGTCTGGAGTGTTCTCAGCTGTATGAGACGCCTTGCTGTAATAAGGTCCACCTGGATATTTGGAGCCCAAACATAAGGATCCTTGGTCCAGAAGCAGCATGGCCACTCCTAGTCCTGCATCACCTGAGGCTTTCTTGGCCTCCCTCTAGCTGGGTGTGATCCACAGGGTATGGTGTGAACTGGGTCCTAGAAAGGGATGTAACATTTGCCAGGTATCTGCATGCTGGACATGTTTCATGCACACACCAAACCTGCTGGGTAGGTATATTAGTTGTCTACTGCTGTGTAACAAGTTGCCCCCAACTGAGCAACTTAAAGCTGTGAACATTTAGTGTATGACATGGTTTCAGAGGGTCAGGACTTTAGGAAGGCTTTCACTGGTTCTTCAGTGGTCTAGTTCCAATTGTAGTGAAGATGTTGAGGGGCTGTTATCTGAAGCCTGGGGCTGGAGGCTTGGCTGCCCAGGTGGCTTCTAACATGCCCAGCAAGTCAGTGTTGGGTGTTATAGGCCAGGTCTTGCCATCTGGACCTCTCCGTGGGGTGACATGAGTGCCCTTGGGGTGTGGCCACTTCCCCGCATGGGTCATCCAGGAGCATGGGAGAAGGCAGTGTCCTTAGTACCTGGCCTCACACGCCACGTCCCGAACGTCCCCTGTGGGAAGGGGCTGCCTGTGGCTGTCCGCAGGCTCGTTTCCCGTTGCTGAGGAGGTAGCTGAGGGCTGGAGAGGCTGGGGCGTCTCCTGTGGGTTAGGCTGGGCTTTCAGTCCAGCTGATGATGTGGCAGAGGACTGAGTGCGCCTGGCGAGGCTGGGAGTCCCCGGATTGCAGGACCGAATGGGGCTGGCTTGGCTTTAGGGGTGTGCAGCCTCACAGGGCCCGCAAGCTCTGGTCCTCTGGGGACAGGTGGCAGTGGCAGTACTGTCGCGGAGGGGTCCCTATCTGCCCACACCTGGGCCCCACAGATCTTCTTCCGCAGAGCCATGTTGGTTCTCCCCAAAGTCAGTGAGACAAATGAAAGGCCAGGGGTGTAGCTCAGTGGCACAATTCCTGCCTGGCACGTTCAAGGTCCTGAGTTTGATTCCTGGTACCAAAAAAAAAGACGAATGCTCAGAACCCTGCACCTGAGCACGCTCACCTAGGGTGAGGTTGGCCGGCCTGGACAAGGCTGTTCCCACAGTGGGTGCTCTGCGGCCCAGGGCAGGCTTCCCCAGGCCAGCTGCCACAGGAAACTTCGGTGCCAGCTTTGCCCTCCATAGGGACCTGCTGTTTCAGCTTTGGAGGTTCCTTGGGAAGCAGTCCTTTCCTATAAGATGAAGAGTGACTCCTTAGTTTGTTTACTTTACAAATCCAGACCTTTGTCTTTTTTTCCCTTTTTTAACGGTCCTGGGGATGGAACCCAGGTGCTTACTCACGCTGGGCAAGCGCGCTCAGTGAGCCACCCCCAGGCCTAGGTCAGTTTTCAGTTGGAAAACTGCTGTGCTCCTGTGCTGTGTCTAGGGAGTGAGCCCTGGAGCCTCCACCCGCAACCCTGGGGCAGGAGGCTGGGTCCAGAGGAGGCCCGGCCCCTCTGGCGGGAGGAGCAGCAGGAGCAAAGGGGCTGGGTAGGAGGGCGGGCTGACCCATCGTGGTCTGGCTTCCCCTGCAGCGGCTGTACAGCATGGACCTGCGCAGCTCCCACAAGGCCAAGGGCAAGGAGAAGCTGCGCTTCTCCCTGACGTGCCCGCTTGGCAGTGGGAGCCCCGAGGGGGTGGTCAAGGCAGGGGCACCTGAGCTGGCGGACAAGGGCCCCTTGGTGCCCACCCTGCCCTTCCCGCTCCGCAAGCCGCACAAGGCCCACAAGTACCTGCGGCTCTCACGCAAGAAGTTCCCGCCCCGCGGGCCCCACCTGGAGAGTCACAGCCATCGACGGGAGCTCTCCCTGCAGGAGCCACCGACTGCAGAGGTCCTGCAGGCAGCCAGCGAATGGGAGTCCACGGAGCAGCCGCCCGAGGAGGAGGGTAAGGTGGCCCAGCCCTGAGGCCTCAGAGCCAGGAAGGGCCCTGTGGGTTACCAGGCCCACTGACCCATGTCCAGAGGGCCTGGGAGGCCACACAGCTGGGGGAACAGTGAGGACCAACCTGGACCTGACCACTGGCCCAGAGCTGTCCAGCCAGCCAGGGAAGGTTTGCATGGTACCCTCCTCCTGGTGTCCACTTTGAGCTGGGTCCTGAATTGACTGGGGACCCTGAGCAAAGAACACAGGTTGGGGTGGGGGATGTTCTGCATGCTGCCACCCCTCCCACCTGTCTACCAGTTGTCAACCTGTCCCTGTCCCTGTCTTTGTCCTGTGGCTGCAGCAGACGCAGACTTGGCCGATGGGCCCCCTCCCTGGACACCCACGCTCCCCTCAAGTGAGGTGACTGTGACCGACATCACCGCCAACTCTATTACCGTCACCTTCCGTGAGGCCCAGGCAGCCGAGGGCTTCTTCCGAGACCGCAGTGGGAAGCTCTGAGCCTCTGTGGCTGCTGTCCTTAAACTGTTTTCTACGGGGCTTGGGGTGGGCAGCTCCAGAGATGGGGATGGGTTGGGGTGAGGTCCTATTTTATTTTTAAAAACTCCTGAGCAGAAGGAGGGAAGACCCCACAACTCTCCTGTCACCCCACCTCGCTCTCTGAGGGACATTTACAGCAGGCCCTCTGGGTGGGGCTGGGAGACCAGCGTTGCTCTGGTGGCCCGGATATTTCCTCCCAGATGGGCCCGGGCCGCCTGCCTGGGATGCCTCTCTCAAAGCAGCTGATTCCAGGAGCCCAGGGGGTCCAGCGCTCTGCCTTGAGCAGTGACCCAGGCTGCCCCCCACCCCTACTTTAAAAATTTTTTTGGCTTGGATCTTTATTTTGAACTTTCCACTCCAGCTTTGCTGTGGGACTGGAAGACTGGCATTGACCACCAGGGGCTGGGTTTGCAGAGACGGGGAAGGAGGCAGGGTTTGAGGTGGCTGGGGTGCGCCTGACCCTCCAGAGAGGTGGCCACCTTTCCTGCCCCTTTACCTGGAAACACTAGCCACCTCATGGCTACCTGCGTGTCTACAGATGAGCCCACGTGGGCCTTGCACGCCTCCCTAAGAACTCCTGAGCAGATGAGCAAGGGGCAATTCATAGCACAAAAGAACTTGCTGCGGCAGCCCCTGTAGCCGCCTTATATGCACGCCACGCACGACAGGACCTGTCTCAGCTCCGTTTGCTCGCAGCCATCGCCAGAGGGAGGGGCCTGGCCACAGGCATGGTGGCATCTGGCACTATAGCCATGCAGATGTGGCTTTGTGGTTATACCTGGCCAGGCCACGGGTGGGCAAACATCTGCTGAGTTATGCCAGAACATCTGTACAGGCTCTAAGACACTGGGGGCCTGGCCTTCCTCCCACAGGGGTTCTTGTCCTTTCTGACTCAGGTGACTTTTTGGCCCTTCCAGTTACTCTTCTTTCTGCCCTCCTCTCCAGCTCAGCCAGCAGGGTGTGGGCAGTGGAGGGCGTGTCCCCCGCTTTCTCAGGGCAGTCCTCATCTCCTGAACCCCACCTCCTTCCATTCTGTGTCCCCTCGCATCCAACCTAAATGCCAGGGCTGACCTTGTTCCTGTGGGAGTCAGGCTGTGCACAAGTCCCACGCCTGGCAAGGGGCTGCATCTGCCAGGAGGAGGGGGCTTGATTTCTAGTTGTAGAGCTGTCCCATGGACTGACTTCTCTCCCATCCCAGCCCTGTGGGGGAGAAAGGCCAGGGCGGGTGGAGGGGGAGCATGGAGTGGGCGTCCTCCCCTGCCCTCTGCCGCTGTTAGCCTGACTTGAGTGTAGAACCAGTGTGTGTGGGAGCTCAGCACTGTCCCCTGACCGCTGTGTCCTTGGGAGCTCAACGGATCTCTGTAGGGACAAGGGTAGGTGACTCCTCCCCTGTCCCTCCAGTTCCCAAACCAAAGACAGCCTGCATCCCGTTTCTGTTTGGGATGCTCTGTTAGCAAGATCCCTAAATCCATCTCTCCCCATCCTCCTTAGTTCCTAGTTGTCCAGGGTCAATTCAGTGCTTCCACAGGGAGACAGTCCCTTGCAGGCCCCTGCGTCACTCGCAGCCCTGGTTGCACCTTGAAGAATGTGGGCATGGGGCTTAGGGAGGACGGGGCAGCAGGAATCGCCACTGATCTGCTGCAGGACCCTGGGGAAGGTAGACGCTGTAGTTGGGGGTTCTTCGGGGCAGGGCAGGGCCCCCAGCAGAGACAGTGGTGGGGGTGGGGGGGTTCTCTCCAATGGAAGGCATTGGTCCGTAGCTTTGGGACTCGCAGCAGCTTCCAGTCATAATCATGCTGTCCATCCCCAGTGGACTCAGAACCACTTCCTGCATCCTAGGAACTCCCGCAGCACCGCCTGCAACTTGGAGTCTGTGGACCGGGGTCTTGTCTTCTGGGTGAGGCAGCAGTTTTTGGTCTGCAGCAGTAGAACATACCTTCCTCTTTCTCAGCTCTTTATGGCACCCAGGACCCTGTAGCTCAGGGAGGGCTGAGGGCTGGGAGGGTGGCCTGGGTTGGGTGGCCCTGAGATCCCCTGCTCAGGCAGCCACGTGGCACAGGATTGCTGTGAGCTGGCCCCCTGGGGAGCCAAGCTATGGGCTGTAGGGTCTTTTGCAGCCAGGACAGGTGACCTCCCAGCCTGGAGTGTCCTGGGTGGGCAGTGATCTCCCACCCCATTGCCCCCCAGAAGGCCAGTACTCTTGGGGTAGGAGAGGGCTCTGAAAGCCACCTGCCTCACTTTCCGCTGCCTCACCTGTTCTGAATGTAGAGACCGGCTGGTACTTTTCCTCTGCTGGGGGTGAGGATATGCCTTGCCCCCTGGCCTGGCCACTTGCAGTGCGGGGACAAGCTCCTCTGGGCTGTGAGGTTGTCATTCTCTTGGGATGGTGATCCCTTTGCCAATTTCCTCCCACCTCCCTCTCCAGGGGAAGGCGCTGGGCGTCTTTAAGATGGTGTAGCTTTTGCTTTATAAGTGGCCGCACGTGGCCGCCAGGTCTCAGCACAAGAACGCTTCCTTTGCACAGAATGAGCTCCGAGCTTTGTTCAGACTACATGAATGTACTGGGGGGTAGGGGGGCGAGCGCACGCCTTCCCGGGCGAGTGTGTGCGGGGACTCCGTGGGTGCAGAGCGCGGTTTTATTTTTGTACTGATATTGGTAAGAGACTATAGCATCTATTTATTTAGATGATTTATCTGGTAAATGAGGCAAAAAAAAAACTATTAAAAATGATTTAAAAAAAGATTCCTAGGCATTTGATCATTACTTTTGGTGTCACTTCTGTGCCCAGGAAAGAGATCTAGCCGCAGATGACAGCCTGGGTCCAGGCTCCAGGTCTGCCTGTTCTGTCAGCTTCCTGAGCCCTCTGGAAATGCACTGAAGACTCACTGAGGGGGTGGGAACTGGGCCCTGTGAGGAGTCACCTGGGAAGTGTCCACCTCCCTTGGCCGAGCAGTGTGTAGCCAGAGGCCTGGAAATGCTTCAGACCATTATTCACCGTTTCGAGTATTCTGTCGGATGTGGGGTGGTCAGGATCACAGGGATTCCACAATGACAGGTTCTGGAACCCAGGATCACCACGGGGCAAACTCACGCTTGTTCACCCCAGCTCAGCACGCCTGTTTGAAGCCTGAGGCAGGCGATCAGAGCACAGGGCGCCAGGCAAGAGTTCTTCCTGCAGGCGCCTCTGGCAGACAGGTGCAGGCAGGGGACTACCACAGCTGTCCAGGAGGGGTAGAGGTGGCAGTCGTCGCCACATCCAGCTCGCTGGATGCCAGTGTCAGGGAGGGGCCAGGATCACAAATGGGTTTCCAGTTGGGCAGTGGGCAGACAGGGGTCTCATCAGGAAGGGGACTAAAGGAGGGGAGGTGGGTGCGGAAATCCGTCTTAGGACAGGCTCTGTGCATGAAGTCTATTTGGGAGGTGACCCAGCAGCAGGAGTAAGGGGTTAGGACGGTGGGAAAAGGAAGAAGAGGACGGCTACTGAGGTCAGCTGGGATGTGGTGGAAGGATGTCACAGTGCACAGCCCCCAGCCTCCATCTGTCTGTCCTGGTATATTGACCCTGGACGAGAAAATACCATGCTAGGTGGGCGCTGTGGTGCACATCTGTAATCCCAGCTGCTCAGGAGGCGGAGGCAGGAAAGTCTGAAGCCAAACTGGGCAGTTTGCCAAGACTCAAAAAGCCCTTGGGTGTCACTCAGTGCTAGAGTGCCTAGCACGTGCAAGACCTGGGTTCGGTCCCCACTACCGCAAAGAGAGAAAAAGAGGAAGGCAGGGAAGAAGAGACACGTGCTGGCCCTTGTCACCCATAGGGAACTGTCCACCTGTCCGTGGGCAAGATGAGAGACGAAGCCAAGAGGTGAGTCCGACAGGGCCACGGAAGTGTGACAGTCCCCCTTCCCCCCGGGCTGCTGTACTTTGCTTATCGTACACAGTAAATCTACTTCCACGGACTCTTCAAAAAGGTGGCCTGGGTAGTCCCTGTAAGAGACTTAATGTGTGTTGGGTGGATGACCATCCGTCCTCAGGGCTGCAATGGGTAATACTGTCTCCTGTCTTCACCACCCCCTGTCCCTGCTAGCATTCCCACTGGTCTAGGCTGCTTGCTGGCTGGGGTGACCCCGACACATCCAGAAAGAGCCCAGGCCCCTGCTGGCCTGCCCTTGTTCAGTCAGGTCACTGTGCCTCAGTCCCCAGTGGGCCTGAGGGCAGGAAGCTTGCCTCAAGGACTACCCCAGGTTTCAGATAAACTGCCGACGGAATGTAGCAGCAACCTGGCATCTGAGGACAGTTGAGGTCAGTTAACCTCACTGATGTCACAACTACTGTTTTCTGTCTGCCAGCCGACCTACTGGTCCTAGGAGCTTACAGTGACTAGGTGGTAGTTGTAGCCTCACATGCCAAGGAGTCCCTTACACTGTTCCCTGGAAAGATGCTCTCTTCCCTGGAAACCAGGATCTCTGATCCACCAAGTCTAAGTCAGAGCCACAGAGCACAAGCTCCGCAAGTCGGTGCAGAGGCACGCTGTAGCCTTGGATGGTGGCAGTGGCACAGACACTGGACAAGTTGTGAACTGCTGACCTCACTGTGAGGAAGGGAGCCCACCGTAAGCAACCTGCCATGGTGCCCTGCTGGCCCCCCAAGCCCAGCACCGTGTGCAGGCTCTGACAGGCCGGACACCCATCACCTACATTAAGTAGCTGTATTAGTTTTCCGTTGTTGGGACAGAACATCTGCCACACATGATTTCAAGGCAGAGAAGTATATTTTGGCACAGTCCGTGGCTGGCTGGCTCTGCGGGAGAAACATCACGGTGTGAGAGCACTGTGGAGGAAATCAGCTCACCTCTTGGTGTCCAGGAAGCAGAAGATGGGGGGAGAGCCCAAGAGAAAGTGGCCAGGGACCAGATCCCACCCTCAAGGTCCTGCTTCCATGCTACCCAGACACCCCCAGAAGTGTTTCCCTAATTTCCTAGACCTCTCAAGTTAATCACGCTGACAAGAATAACCATCACAAGCCCACCCCTTGTCAACTCGGCACCTACACACAGCTCTTTAAACCACACTTGATCCCCAAATAGAGATAATGACAAGGTCACAATTCCACCTAACAATGCCAGCATCCTGCAGCGCTAACCCTATCCCCAAATGTCAGCAGTCTCAGCATTGCTCCAAAGTCTAAGTCCAAAGTCCCCTCTGAGACTCCAGGCAAACTCTTAGCTGTGCATCCTTGTAAAATTCACAAAGCGAGTTAATGCTTCCAAGGTACAATGGCTCCTCCCATCCCAAAGGGGAGAATAGGCGGACAGAAAAGAATAGGACCAGAACAAGACTCAAACTCAGCAGGACAAACATGAGGTCCTATAGCTCTACACCCAGCATCCCGGGCACATGGTGGCATGATGTGAGCCCCAAAGGGCTCGGGCAGCCCTGCCCCTCTGGCCTTGCCAATTGCAGCCACACGGCCTCTCTCCTAGGCCGGCTGTGCATGCTGCCTATGGCTTTCCTCAGGAGACACTCCATGCCTGTGTCTCCAGCTGCTGAGGTCTCCGTTGCAGCTTCAGCCTCACTCCTGCAGCCTCACATGTTGCCCTCTTGGGGGCTCCTAGCAGGGACTCTGGTCATGTGGCGCAATGCCCAGCTTCCCAGGCCTTTCTTTGAAATCTTGTGCAAGCCTCCATGAGCCCATAACCCACGTACTCTGCATGCCTACAAAACCAGCACCACAGGGCTGGGGATTTAGCTCAGCGGCAAAAGCGCCTGCTTGGCATGCACAAGGTCGTGAGTTCGGTTCCCGGTACTGGAGAAAAACCAAAAAAAAAAAAAAAAACCAGCACCACAGCAGTGATGCCACCGTCTGCTGCCAGACAGGAAGGGGCCAGGGACCCAAGGTCCTGCTTCCAAGACCCACCTAGATGTGTGCTTCACTAGTCTCCTATGAGTCTGTCAGGCTAATCAAGGTGACAGTTAAGATTAACCATCACAGCCGGGTGTGGTGGCTCACACCTATAATCTCAGCACTCAGGCTGAGAGTTCGAGGTCAGCCTGAACTACATAGCAAACCTTGTCTCAAAAAACAAAAACAAACCCCAAAAAGATTAGCCATTACAGCTGTCCAGGTTACATCTCAGGCACATGAGGCTGCTTGTACTGAAAACTCACTCTTCCTTTGGGCCTGCGGACAGCCAACTTGTGGCAGGAATGGCTGTAAAGGCTTTGCACCTCTGTTTTCATATTGAGTTTGTCTCCCTTGCTGCCTTAACCTTTGGGTAAAGACACCAGCTGCCATGACCGGAGAGACAAGACCAGAAAAGCGGTGGAAAGTGGTGGCACCCAGTTCTTGGAAGATCGCTACCAATTTCAAGACAAGACAAGAACAGCCCTCCCCTTCCTTAGCTTGTTCCTCTCCTTCACTATTCCTGGGCTGTACCTGTGACCCTTCAATTCCCTTAGAGTTGAGAGGCCGATTTGAGGACAGAAGCTCCTTCCTTGACCACTGAATAAACCTTGTTTTTTTCTCATCACTGTGTCTTGAGTTGTTGGCTTTGTCGGGCGATATCAGACCTTTCCTCCTTGCATTAATGTGTCCCTTTATGTATGTGGAGCTCACTACACTACAGAACATGGTCATTTTCAGTTTTTAGACATTTCTGTGTCTTAGAAGCAAACAATCAACAGCGCTGGTTTTCTGTTCTCTGTGTGATTATCGAACAACCTGCAGACATCCTGCGTGGTTACGTTAGATAAAGCAGGCAGATCGAGAGTTATGCCAATAACCAAGACATCTCATGGCACCAGATGAAAGATCACCAAACCTTACGTGGGTAAGGAGAAAAGCAAAAAAAGGATTTTTATTTGTTTAGAAGTATCTTTTGTACTGAAAGTCAACTTCACAACTGGATATGAAAGGTTAAGAGTGACCAGACACGATCCTGATCTTATGGCGTGGTGGCTGATGCCTGTAGCTCCAGCACTCTGGGCGGCTGAGGCAGGGGGATTTAGAGGCATGGGTCTAGTTACAGTCTATATGCCTTTTTTTTTTTTTTTCTGGTACCAGGAATTGAACTGAGGACCTTGCACTTGCCAGGCAGGTGCTATGCTGTTGAGCTATATCCCCGGCCCTTGTATGCCATTTTTTAATTCCTAAGGCATAATTACACATTTCATATGCATTTGTGAAATAAGATAAACGTTATACTTATATCCCATAGGAGTCAGGATTAAAAGTTTTCTAAATACTGTGTGTGGCATTAGAAACCCATGTCTTATCAGATCAGTCTCAGTATTAAGCTACTGGACTCCATATGAAATATTATATGATGGCACACTTCTGTAATCCCAGCACTCCGGAGGCTGAGGCAGGAGGCTCGCTGTTGAGTTCAAGGCCAACCTGTACTACATAGCGAGATCCTGTCTCAAACAAACAAACAACCAAACAAACAAAACAACAATAAAAAACCCACAACAAAATATAGACATTCCCTGAAAACCAATATAAAAATTTGGCCCAGAAAGATCAAATAGAAATCACAATTTTCTTTTTTGTTTTGTTTTTCTTCTGGTACCAGGAATCGAACTCTCAACCTTGCACTTGCCAGGCAGGCACTGTACCACTGAGCTAAATCCCCAGCCCCAGAAATCACAATTTTCTTGATTTAAGGTGGTCAAAAGTGAGTCAAATATGCTTATTCTTTCTTAAAATTAGGAGCACACATCTTTGCAGTCTACATGAGGAATACACTGAAATAGGCTCTTTCTTTGGTTAAAGAAGGACTGTATTCCAAGAATTACTTCAGAGGAGCAGACAGTGGTCCTAGGATTATAGTCAAGAAGGACTAGATGACTTTGGGAGATGTTTCAGCTCTTAGATTTGGGGTGTTGACTAAGCCACTGAAGTGTGATATCTATACTATCTTTTCCTTTGCAAGAAATCAAATAGCCCCAAATTTCTCTATCTTGAACAGCATATTCATTTTTTCCAACTAGTTGTTTCTCATCTGAGGCGTTTGGAAGATCTGTCCTGTTTCCAGGTATGTTCCCTGGAATTCTTAGTAACTACATAATTCTAGGAGATTATGTAGCTCGTTTTGAGGGGCTGCTTCTATCTTTTCATGATCTGTGGTGTCTACTGTGTCAACAGTAGGGTTATCTTCCCATGTCTTGTTTTTTTTTTTTTTTTTTTT